TAACAAGTAGTTTTAATTTACAGCAGCAAAGCAATGCTAGCTATCATTTTGTTTCCTGGAAGTCCAGAATGCCCCCACACGGGTAAGAATTAGTACTTCTGCCAAATTCCGTCACAAAATGCTATGGCTGTCATCAGCAGTTCACTTCAGGGTACCGAATATCACCAAATAACATGATCGTTAGGCATATGGACCGACGAATCACTGGGCGTGACCATATAGGGATCGTTGACATTTAGTCCTGAGTTCAAAGCTACGTATTACCATCCTGACAAAGAGCACTTTATGGTGAAGATAGCTGCATTTGATGGTCGTGTCTTCGTCCCTTTCATTCTGTCTCAGATGCTTTCACCTGAACAACTTCATGTTGTTAACAATTTAAATCTTAATGTTAACTTCCTTCAAAACAGCTAAGTAGTCAAGTCAAATGGACATTGTAATACTCCTCAGAATTGCGAAAAGTAAAGTCTGAAAAGGTGGGGGGGTTTACAACATTCAGTTGTTACGTTGACATGATTATGGTATGAGCCATTTCCCAATTGAGCAGGGTGCTGGGTCTAGTGGCGAACCGCAAAGTATCTATGGACTATTTAGAGGGACAAATGATTTCAGACTTATATTTCCTGTCCCTCCAAACAGTCCATATATATTTAGCGGGTCGTGACTCGACCCAGTACCCTGCTCGATTGGGAAATGGCTAATTGATCACGCCTTAGACATAAAACTGAAGTGTTTGGTATAAAATTAACTTAGATACGATGTCAATCATTCTTTTAGTTATAAATTTACTCGTTTAGCATCACCAATCCTGGGAGCTTTCATTTGAACAATTTTGTTACCTAAGGCCAACCTCGTACCCAGGGTCTTTCGTAGGCTTTCCTGGGGGCACAGTTGGGGGAAAACACTGCAATGAAAAGTTTCCTGCGGCGGAGGTTTACCTAAGCCTAGGCTTACCTGCTTTGAACACTAAGAACCGGTCCCGGATGATTATACTACAATCTTCGACAAAGTCATATTCGCATTCTTTTCTTTTTATATGTACCTAATCCTTGTTCCCTCTAGCCGCGAAGTTGAGTTTAAGTCATATTAAATTTCCCGCATAACATAACTTCACGTTAGTAAACTATTTTGTCCCAGATTGTAGTAACTGCTAACCAGCCTCAATCTTAAATAAATCCGAGTTAATACTTTACTAAAATAAAGACTGTAACTAAAATTTGCCTCTGTAGGGTCTTGTTGTGTTTTCGTTTAAATGAGTTCAAATATTTACAAAAATTACTCGTGTTTGTGTTTTTTTTACTCGTTTTCATAATTTTTGGGCTCTTTTTGACTCGTTTTCGCTCGTTTTCATGATTTTTTGACTCCTGTTCACTCGTGTTCATGATTTTTGGACTCGTGTTCGCTCGTGTTCATAAATTTTTGACTCGTGTTCATGATTTTTTTACTCTTTTTCATATTTCTGGAGTCGTGTTCTGACTCGTGTTCATCCGTAATCCACTTATACCCAAAACTCCAGTAAAACGATTCTAGAAGAAAAGTTTTCATGGTTAATCTATTTCTTGTGTTAATTAGAAAGGTAGTCCAAATTAGAAAGGCAATTGCTACAAATCACTTCCTAAATTTTGCAAGGGAATTTCTCTTCCAAAACAAGGCTATATACACACAAGAGGAATGGAAAAATAAAATGCATGGGTTCAGCATAGATTATAGACAACAAACACCGCACATCTTACCACATTTATCGTGAGAATTCCCAAAAACTGCTTAGAAATTTTTCACAGGAAACAGAGAGCTTTTGTTTATCTGTTCTTCTCGAATGTCATAGTTAGCGTGCGTTGGCTATATAAAACAACAGAATTGGTTTCAATAAAATTGGATCCTGTTAACATGCAAATTTCAAAGTTGGCTGAGTTGACGTATTTCGTTACTTGCATCTATCTAGCTCGGCAATTTCGCCGCTATATTCTTAACGAAATACTCTTTTTTAAATTTAAATATGTCCGGTCTGACCATTTTGGCCGCTTTAAAGAAAGCCCTGTCTTTACCTGCATCAGAGCACACAACATGTCGACAGCGGCGTGAGTCACGGCTTCATTATTCCTCTTCAAAGCTTTCACAGTTTTCACACCAACCTTCTCACGGAAGCTGAAAAAGCAAAACAGAAACACGGTCTAAAAAATGAACTGGTTGAGTAAACAGCGTGTGTTGTGCTTAAAGATAAACGTTTCTCACCTAGTGAGCGTTGTGAAAGCGCGAACCTGCTTTGGATCCAACCCAACGTCTCAAAGCGTGAAACAGTGCTTCGAGATCTTTATCTGATATTTTGTTTTGGTCTTCTGCAAATAGACGAGACTTTTTAATTATTTTAGGTATATATTGAACACCTGCGAAGGTAATAGCAGTCAGAATATGTATATTTTAGGGTTGAACACTAAATAATGTATTGGAAAAGATATACAATACCTTCGTGAGCAATGAGCATTGTGATGGCATTAATGATAAGTCTTTCTTTATTCTCCGAGAAAAGTCCCTACAAAATATTTAAAATCGTTTGAAATATATATTGGAGTTTAAAAGACTTAACATTCCAGCTGTACTTCTGATGAAAATTTCAAAACTACCATTTCATGGATTCTGACTCATTCAACTCAGCAACGAGAGTGACCACAGTTTTTAAGGAGTACTATTAGTGTTTTGTGTACATTTCTGTCAGAACAGTAACATGATAGGTTATTTGTAATAAGGCCATACTCTGCCTTTGGCTATATTGGATAAATGTACCGTGTTGTTTGGAGACGTTTTGAACCGTGTTAAATGTTTTGAATTAGCAGCTGAAATGGTCAGATGTTTTCATATAATATGATTATGTAGCTTAGCAATCGTTTAGTTTAAACTGAAGGCTGCTTATCACTTACCCGTTTTTTATACGCACGTACACATACGGAAAACTTTAAATGCTTTTAAATTTTTATTAATTAAGATGCATCTAGTTCAACTAATGCATACTAAATATGCAGAAAACTAAGTTCCTTCGATTTATTCATTTAGTTTTTTCAAAGGTAACACGTATAAGGATTTAGATTTTTACGTGCGTGTACGTGCGTATGAAAAACACGTAAGTGGAAAACAGCCTTATTCCAGATTTTGACAGAACATTAAAACTCAGTGAAAATACAATAATATTCTCTACACAGGATTTTTTCTGCAGAAAAGTACAAAATAAGGAATTGTTAACTTACGTCTTGGGTGACTGCATGAAGTAGACCGCTGTAGGAAATATTGCAGTTAAATCTGAACACAGCTTCGGTGAAATTTCCTGCAAGGAACCAGTCATAAGACTATATAAGCTTTTGGAGATATTTCAAAAATTTAAAGTGAAAAAAAAAAGAGAAATATTTCACCTGGAGACGCAGCGAGGAATTTTAAGTGACTGCTTTCTACTTCTTCAACAACAATATACAATGGACCCCATCGGTAACCTTGAAAAATATATCATCTTAAAAAAACAATTCTTCTTTTGATGTATGTGATGTATTGAACTGGCTAATACGAATAATGCTATTGGCTGATACCTGACGAGAAGTGTAATTGTTGGTGTGTTATATGAGATCACATACGTCAGCAGGAAAATGAAATGAGGGATCGTATTTAGGGTAATCATAGCAGTACGAGATTTTCATCAGGAAAATTTTGGCCATAATTTTCGCTCAATCATCTATGAATAAGCGTGCAGTACTTCTCTTCGTTGGGGTCGTTTTTACGCAAAAATCTCTATTTCAACTGGCTCTAACACCGTCAAGCAAACCAGCCAGTAATGTTTCCCTAGATTGAGTGAAATACAAACATTCAAAACAAGAAATATTTTTTATAGCTTAATACAAAATTTGCTTTCTTAAACTACCTGTCAGGCGACGTGTAATTTATCAGCTGACCGCTTGTGTATATTCCAGCCCGAACAACTGAGGATGGTTTCGATAGGGAATTATTGAAAATATCTGACAGAAAAAGAAGTTTGAAAACTATGATATACTATAATACACAAGTCTCAAGCACACGGTATATTCCGGAAAGTAACTGCAAAAATAAAACTATTTTAACTCGGCTGCATACTTTTTTGCAATTGGACATGTTCAAAATGGAAACGTGAAATAAAAAAGACGATAAAAGCAGTAAACTTGAATCCAGGTCAGAAGACATGGAGTGTTTGGAGTGTTTGGAGTGTTTTCTTTCAAGGTCAGAAATGAACAATTACTGGAAGTGACATGGAATGTCGCATGACTTAATGAGCTAAGGGGATGAAGGGTGACGATATTGTACGTTTCTAAGAAACACAGCGTTCTTTGAACATGATCCTAAATTTGAGAGTGTAAAAACGATTTTAAAATGAGAAAAAGGATAGACTCTTAGAAGAATTTTAGTAACAACATAACTCACTTTACTCCGAGGAGTTTCTCTATAGACGCTGATTTGTGACATTGATGTGATATGTTCGTCATCACTGAAACGAAAAATTTGTCATTTACTATCATATCTCACATTCTTTACACAGGACAAACTAAATACTGTCTTAATAATATATCATTCACCTGTATTTTCCAAATATGTTTTTAAAAAACGACTCCACTTTGATGGAAACTTTTCTTCCGCCTAAAACTGAGCAAAATAAAAAAAAATACAGCTCAAAGTAAATTACACACCTGGAAAGAATTTTTTCGTAAATAAATGAAGTAACCTGTATGTAAGTAAATTTGTCATTTATTTAAAATTTGTTTACTTAAATTGTTCACATACTTTATCGTAACGTCAACGTTATTGAAAGAAGATTCCATCATCTTTTTCAGATATTCCTCTCTCCTGTTTGATGTGAAAAGATGCTGGAAGACACAAACAAAATTGTGCACAAAATGTAAAACTTCAATTTGCAGAAATAACCGGTATCTTATCCTTTTGTTATTATATAGCTGGTACTAGTAGAATCTGGTACATACCATTCTGTTAATAACCACCACAGACAACAACAAATCCCCTAGGATAATCTGAGACCTAAGATAGAAATGGAATGAAAGCCTGAGTTAAATTATTGCAAATCACAAATATTCAAATTTCTGGCAATATCAAGTATCATACCAGTGCAATCAGTTCTATACCTTTATAGTTGTAAGAAGCCAATTTTTATTATCTCTTCAATCAATCTGATCCATGCAGTGAGCCTGGTGACACCTAAATTGAACAAAATTGCTTCAAAAATGGCTAATAACAAGGAATATATATATATATGTATATAAACACACAGGTAAGTTATCAAGAAACTTGAAAACAATAAAAGTACCTCTAACGTGAGTGCAACCTTTCGTTCACTCCAATTCAATTCATAACCACTAATCTTCTACACAAAAATATGGCATATGTTGATGTTGAAATAGCTTGGAAACGTTAGCTTCAATTAGCTTATCACTTTATTAATAAGAAACCACTTATTAAATTAGAAAAGGAATATGGACCTAATTTTTTGAAGACAGAGGGGGGGGGACATTGATACCATGATGAATTACGATTTTGAATTTCATGCGAATAGTTTCATTTTAGGGAATGAGGTATAATTAACCAGAACATACCAATTCACTTCCACTTTTATGACCAGGAAAGTCTTCGTACAACTTTTAAAATATAATAATCAGTGGTTAATTAACAGAGTGTACAATACAGTAAAACAAAGGTACGAAATAATAAAAATTACACTTCCTTACTAAAGCCTCTGTGATAAGGTCTTCTCTGCGCTCAGTAGAAAATGTAATATTGTGAGTCTTTTGCCTTATTTGTATATGAAACAAAGACAGTTTTTTTACAAATTACCAGCAGTTGTGAGTTTTATTTTATCTAAAGATTGACAACTTACACTCTCACACCAATGATAACTTGTGTTGGTGCCTTCAACCTTGGCATGATGTTTAGAAAATCTTTGTAAGCCCACTACAATATTTTTGAAAATTTGTCAGTTAATAACTTTCTGTTGTGGTTTCCAGCCATTCACATGTGCAATGACAAAATTAAATTGAGAACTTTATGGCTGCAGTTATATTCCAGTTGCCAAAATACATACAAAGACAGAATGATAGTTGTCAGGTGTTGAAATCCTACATAAGATAATTTGCATGAAAATATGGAAATGATGATAAAATCCTAAAAGGACATAGGATTGATTTCAACAAAATTTGTTAGGAAAATAAGCAAATGAACCTCTATTTCGGAGTTGGTCTGAATTCTTGACATTTTGCCAAAACTTTCTAATAGTTGTTGATCATAACAAAGAGCTATTATATATGTTAGGCATTTGCAAGCAAATTCAAATTTGAAACCCGAGGATCATGCAGCAATTATATTGTATCAATATGGTGGAAGACTGGAAGTCAGGATACATATCATGTCAGATAAGCCCAGGTTGCACAAGACATCTTAATCAAAATTTACATCAAAATGATTTTGACAAACATTGACACTCCTGTATTAAAGTCACTATTATGACCAAGTATAGATCGCCACATTATGACCAAGTATAGATCGCCAGTCGCCACATTTTGATGAAAACATCCATCTAGACAATCTAGACAGGAATCGGCCGACTAAAATCGTCGTGTGTGCGCCTAGCTTTATGAAATAAACAAGATTGGATTTTTATATTTACACAAAATAGGATTATGCATCAAACAACGAAAAGGTATGTACATAAATCTTATAGGTAGTTCAAAGGGCCCTGTCCACAATTTAACTGGCTTTAATAATGATTGATTGATTGAATTTAATAATCGTAATTTGCAGTTAGTAAAAACTGAATTATATACGATGTACATAAAAGACACCTAAAAGTATATACATGCATAAGTTTAACTAAATCTAATCTATAATTATCTTACAATTATAACAAATTAGGCTATTGTTCGAGACTGTTAGCGATTATGAAGGAGTTCTAATACCGATCAGTTCGAATTCGAGGTATAGAGAATTTTCTTCATCGTCTTAGGGAATATTTACAAATTTTTTCCTGAGGAACTAACGAATTTAATTTATAATCTCTATCTTGGGCTTGTTCAAAGAGTTTGTGACACGCAGCAGATCTTTGATCAAACAATGAATCCAACTTCGACATGATAATAGCGTCATCATAACCGTGGTTCTTATATACTCTTCTCAAAAACCGTTTTTGTACCCTCTCAATCTCGTTGCTTAGGTACACCGGCAACGAGTTGTGAAAAACAGGTGACGCGTATTCCAAAATCGACCGTATACATGCCCAATATATCATTATTATGTCTTCGATAGGGACATTTGCTCGTTTAAGTTGTGTTATCAGATATAATCTCTTGGTAGCTTTCGACACAATTTGCTCCACATGTGCTCTCCACTTTAGATCACTGCTGACTGTAAGTCCAAGGATCTTAGCATGGTTCACTATTTCGAGTTCTTTTCCATTGACCAGTAATGGGGCTAGCGTGTTGCCATGATTATTATTCCTAGAAAAGTCAATTTTGAGTTCTTTACTTTTATCTTCGTTTAGTTCAGCTAGGTTGGTTATAGTCCAATTTTGAACATCATCAACATCTAACTGAATTGTACTGCGTTGACCTTTTTTCAGTATTTCCGAAATACTTGTGTCATCGACAAATTTCCCAGGATCGCTATGTGACGTTGTCAGGTCATTTATCATTAGTACATATAACCAGGGACCAAGCTTGGTACCCTGGGGTACACCCGCGCGAATCTCACTCCATTGCGAAAAGCAATTGTTCCTCAATTTTACCCGCTGCATACGGCCAGTATGGAAATCCAAGATCCAATTTATTGTAGAAGGGGGGAGGTTAAGTTGTCTAATTTTAACATAGAGTCGTTTATGGTCTATCAGATCAAATGCCTTTCTAAAATCGAATAGAACTGTACGGACTAAATTTCCAGGTTGATCAGTGGCCTGTGCCCAGCGGTGTATCATAGATATTAAAGCCATTGTGGTAGAGGATTTCGGTACTACTCCAAATTGGTTTTTGTCGATGATTTTCAAAATGGCCGGTCTAACGTTCCTCTCAAGGACAAACTCCTCTTCCACCTTCGAGATTATTGGCGTTAGAGATATCGGACGAAGGTGTTTATTTACATTTGTAATTTGACACGCCTTAGGAATGGGGGTGATTTTGACTGTTTCCAACCAAGAGGTAATGTTTCTTGTTGAAATGAGTTGTTAATAATTAGGCTAATTGGGAAGGCCAGTATTTCTGCAAATTCTCTGAGTAACCAAGGTTGAAGTCCATCCGGGCCAGGGGATTTACTTGCGTTAAGGGATTTCAATTTCATAAATACATCAATTTCTTGTACTTCTAATACATCACAGCCAGATGCTGGCCTTGCGTACTGGATTTTATCAGACTCATCAAGTGGCACATATGATTGCTGTGGGTCCAAAAAGGAATCGTTAATAAAGTTTGCAATTTCATCATGAGAAGAATCATTAATATTCATGTTTTCAAGAGCAAGGATGGATAGTAAATCTTCATTGTCAGACATTGGGGTGTGGCCACTAATGCGTTTAACTTCGTCCCACCATCGTTTTAGCTTGCTGTCTTTTAAAAGACGTAATTTAGAATTATAATAAGTTTGCCTGCACCGCTTGCGATGGCTATTAACGCGGTTATGATAGAACTTGAAGAGCATTTGATTGCCTTGTGCCCAGGCTGCTTGGCGTTTAACAATGAGCTCTTTTAGATAAGTTGTCATCCATGGAACGTCGTTTCGATGAATAACTCGTGTTTTCTCGGGCACAATATTATTAAGTCCAACCTGAATCAAATCATTAAATATGGCAGCTTAGATTTCGACTGAATCGACTGATAAACTGGACCAATCGACGCCCGAGAGAAAACGGCCAAGTTGTTCTTTTTTACTTGGCCTTCGATCACGTACTAAAACTTTAATGCGTTCTGACTTAGTTTTGATTCTTTCTTTCGGGAAAATTGTAATTGTGCAGTGATCCGAGAGTCGAAACGACGAAAGACAATTTGCATCTTTATAAAAGGAATGCAAATTTGTAAGGATTTTGTCTAGGGTGTTATTTCCTCGAGTTAGAAATTTAATGAGCTGTTTAAACTTGAACTGTCGTGCAATAGGCAAAGTGTTAAATTGATTAAAATCGCCTGTCAATATGATTCCACAGTTGGGAAAGTCTCCTTCAAGGGTAGTCAGACATTCTGAAAGGTACTCTGACAGGATTGAGTTATTAGAATTAGGAGGGTGATAAATTATTCCGACAATGATGCATGAAATTGACCGCGGGGACGTCTTGGTCGTATTTTAATCCAAATTACTTCTAAATTTGGAGATTGCAGTTCGACTAAATAATTAAAATGAATATTTTGGTGAACAAAGACACAAACTCCACCATGTGAACCACTTTTTCGGTCTTTGCGTACTACATAATATGATAATATATTTGCATGTGTATCTACATAAATAATGTGCAAATATATGTCACATGCGTTGTCCTTTGCCTTTGCATTCCGAGCCTATTGGCTTTCTACTTTTAATACTTATGTGCTAAAGCTTGGAATTGCGAATTATCTGACAATATTCTTTAAACTTTAACGTTGGACTATGTTTTATATACATAATCATTTATAAACACAATCTCATAATTTATAATTGTACATGTAAAATACAAAAAAAATGGTAGCATACAGGTGAAAATATTTGAAAGTTTCTCATTTGGCTAAGGGTTGTACAAATAGTTTCGTTAAATATGATTCAGCTACAACTTTGAACAAAAAAAAACATGGCTACACAATAGCCCTGAAAATCGTAATGAGCGTGATAACTCTGGATAACTCTACCTTATCATGATGCTAATAAGCTTAACATTTGCCTGATCATTTGATAATTTTGAGCTAAGCTCTCTTTATTATTGTATAAATGTGTACCAAATGCCACTGAATAGTCACAATGCATATCGATGACTTATATTTATGATGATTCCTCTGATGTAAAGCCATAATATTTAAAAAATA